CCCCGCCTACGCCTTCGGCATCCGCTGCCCGCAGCTGGGGGACGACTGCTCCCCGGGGCCCGCGTACATGGTGCCCGCGCGCAGCACGGCGCGCGGCGCCGGGCACAGCCCCGCGTACTCCATCTACGGCCGCCCCCGGGACATCGCGCCCTTCCGCACGCCGGGGCCAGGTCAGCCGGGATGGGGCTGCAGCGCCACATGCACACCTGCAGCCGGGTGCAGTGCTGCGCCGGGATGCACCGGGATGCACCGTGCTGCACCGGGATGCACCGCACTGCACCATGTGACACTGGGATGTACCACACTGCACTGCACCATGTGGCACCATGCTGCACTGGGATGCACCGCGCTGCACCACACGGCACCGTGCTGCAAAGGGATGCAGTGCACTGCACCCCGTGGCACCGCACTGCACCAGGATGCACCACACTGCACCATGCGGCACCGGGATGCACCACACTGCACTGCACCATGCAGCACTGGGATGCATTGGGGTGCACTGCACTGCCCCATGCGGCACCGGGATGCACTGGGATGCACCAGGATGCACTGCACTGCACCATGTGGCACCTCACTGCACCACACTGCACTGCACCACGCGGCACCGCGCTGCACCGGGATGCACTGCCCCGTGTGACACCGTGCTGCACCGTGCTGCACTGCACTGCACCACGCGGTACTGCACAGCACTGGGATGCACCGCACTGCACCACGTGGCACCATGCTGCAAAGGGATGCAGTGCACTGCACCACGCGGCATCGTGCTGCACTGGGATGCACTACACTGCACCATGTGGCACCGCACTGCACCGCACTGCACTGCACCACGCGGCACCGCAGTGCACCGGGATGCACCGCACTGCACCACGTGGCACCGCGCTGCACTGCCCCATGCAGCACCATGCTGCACCGTGCTGCAAAGGGATGCACCGTGTTGCACGAGCCCATGCAGCGCTGGGCGGGTTGCACGGGGCAGGAAGGGGCCGGGTCCCCGTCCCCGTGCCCTGGTGCCACCGCCCGCCCTCGCCGCAGGTCGCTACTGCCCGGAGAAGGCCGGGAAATGGGCCTACCCCTCGGCGCCCGTCTACTCGCTGGCGTCACGCACCAAGCACTTTGCCAACGACCAGACCCCAGGTAGGGAGCAGCGCCGGGGCTCCCGTGGGCGCCCGGTGCACGGGGGACCGTACGCGCCGCCCCACTGAGCCCCCGTCCGCCAGGCCCCGCCGCCTACGGGCTGCCCCCCATGCTGGGCCCGCGCGTGGTGGGGAAGAGCTCGGCGCCCAACTTCTCCATGCTGGGCCGCAGCGCCGTGGGCAGCTTCTACGCCGACCTGTGCAAGGTGAG